GTCAAGGTCGCGTTTTTTCAAAGATGGTCGAAGAAATGTAGAAAAAAACTTCATTATATGTATGATTTTTATGGAACTTTTTAATCACAAACCTGCATTTGCTTACTACTGTCAATTCTGAGAATTTTTTTCCCCTGATAACATCTGTCTTGAATATATATCTTGTATTTCAGAAAAATGGCTAGTTCTGATAAAAGAAAATGCAAAAACAGATCTGATGTAAGAAAGCTTACTGTATAGCTTCTTGGTGGGTTCTGGTTTTGGGGCGACGGTCTTGATTCACTCATAATAACGTTACCTTCTTTTCTTTCTCGGCCGTTGATCGCCTGTACTCACTGGGAGGGGGACTGCACAAACGCAATCTAACACGTCTAGTTAGCTTGACATTCAAACAGCACCTCCCGAAAAAAACGTAATCTATAAATCCTTCCCACGTTCGACTCAGCCAAATAAAATCAACATCCCTATTTTGTCTACCATCTGACCTTAAATGTCAACCTCAGAACGTCTGAGCCAAAATACCCTGTCACTAACAAATAATAGCCTGAAACTATTATTTAACAACTTCACCTACTTTGGAAGGGAACTGGGTGACCAAAACAAAGCCTGGACACACCATATAGTAGGTAAAGAAACACTGAGACAGTGGGCAAATGGGCAAAGAAATCGCCTAAGTTTTGGTATTCCCATGGTCTAGAGAGAACCACAAAATCATCAAATAGTGCTTTAAAAATGCGGCATGAGAACAACTGGACGGGATGTGGGGACTTGAAAGTCATTGGATAGTTTCTTGGTCTACAAGGTGGTTTTACCAAGTATCTTTGCGGATCGTGTCCTTGAGGCTGTCGAGCAAAAAGTGAGCATTGAAAGACATGGCCAGAGAGAAGGGACTTCATAATCGGAGAGAAAGATGTTTTAAACAGGCCGTTTGTTAATCCCGATAATGTCTTGCTTCCCGCGTTACATGTCAAGCTTGAACTGATGAAGCAGTTTGTGAAAAGCCTTAGACCAGGGTGACTGTTTCAAATGATTAAGCAGAGAGGTTTCAGTCTTGTGAGTAAATTAAGGCTGGTTTGTTTGACAGGGCATAGATGAGACAGGACGGGCAGTTTTTGGACGCCATATTTAGCGTTGAAAAAGAATATTGGAAGTTATCAAATTATGATAACCTGTTAACCACTTTAAGAACATTGGGCTGCGATATGAATGTCATTGTTGATTTTGTTTAGCGACATATCAACTTAGATGGGTCATTTAATGCCGAAATCTAAATATTTTGTATATAGTTTTATAAGTTCAGGATAAAATATAAATATAAGTTTTGTTTTTTTTTTAAATATATAGTTTGTAGATCATAAAAATGTATTGTTGGTAATTTCACTAAAAAAATGTATGGTTGGTAATTTTGTTTAATAACAAATATATTGCTGGTAATTTTACTATAAAAATGTATGTATTTTTAGTCATTTTACTATTAAAATGTACAATAGATTTTTTTTGGAGGGGGGGGTCATCATTTGCATGTAACTGGAACACTAAAAGGAGATACCATACCGGATCGGGGTGAATCTGGGAACAACATCAATTAAGAGGTGGTTCCATGCTCATTTGGAACGAAAAAGGTTAGATATATCTGATAAAAAATTATATCTCTGTCTATATTTCTGAGATGAAGTAATTGTAATTATTTACATTATTTACATTGTTCGGGATGTTGTCCTCATCTTTATTGTCATATTCACGACGAGGTGATTGGAATTTCGAGACTGAACCCTTTATTTCGTCCACCGGGTAGATTGTTCTAGTTCCACGTGCCATGCCTCTTGCCGATTTCTTAGTTATCTCCCTTTAACACAACTCTTCAAGTTTTTGTTCACCACTGCCGTAGCCAAGTACTGAATTCACAATTCTTTGGGTCAAGTCACTTTTATGCAGTGAGTCATGTGTCATCAGTGTATGAATTTTTGGGAATTATAAATTTTATGTCTCAGTAAGCATTTTTTTAACTGAGCTAATATTGCAAGTTTGATGTTATTTTTGCTTTTCTCTGGCGCGTCATATTACTGATTCCCATATTGTATTCATTTCTATGCTTGGCCAGCTCAGGAATTTTTTCTGGCCTAGTATATGCGCTGATTCCTTAAGTTTTCGTATCTTCCAGTAATGTTCTGTTTATTATTGCAGCCTCATCTCACAGGGGATAGTGATCTTCCTTTTCCCTCCTTATCTGGTCAGCTCCGTCAGATTTTTCTATTTCCTCCCGTGTTACGATGTTCTTGCAGTCTTACCTTAAAATGACGGTCTGTTTCTCCTTTATATTTCTTAGCACAGCTGCACGGTATGGCGTATACACAGCCCTTAGTCATGTTCTCCTCTATGGTGGCTCTTACTCGGAAAAGGTGTCTGCAAAGTGTCGAGCTACCTTTGAAGGTCATCCTGATGCTATATTCACCACAGAACGTTTTCATTTTTTCCGATAATCTCTTCACATAGAGTAGGTACACCGAAGCTGCTTTCTGAATGTTGTTATCCTCTTGTACCCTTCTATCCCAATTTGTTGGAGCTGCTACCATGTACCCAGGGTAGTTTCAAGGTGGTGCTTATATTAACCATTTCTTAATGAAAAAGGTGTCTACCGATGGAGCGTTCTGATTTTTAATCAACCTAATTTTAGAATGAATATGCATTTGAAAGAATTCTTTCTCTATTTCAACGTACTCTCTGGTTTCTGTTTCATATTTTCATCATCTCTTATAGCCTTTTCCCGGGTATTTACATTTGTGTATTCCTGGGTTCCGACGTCACCAATCCGTACCTCGCATTTTGTTGTCCCTCTTACCAATGATCACACAAGTAGAAGTGTTCCATTTTCCCTTAAATCTTCCCCATTGCTCCCATGATCCATCTAGGGTATTCTCAGAAACCCTCTGTAGAACCACATTTCTCTTGCTCCGTCACCTCTTCATCCTTGCGTAAATTACCTCGCATTTATTGCTATATTGCACATTCCTTTCTTTGCTTCTAACGAAATGTTCCTCTTTCTAAGTACAGTAGAACTCCCCAAATCTGAACATAGCAAAATCTGGATTTCCTTAAATTAGACTTCCTCGAATTAGGACTCATTTTCAAGTCCAAACTGTTGTCTTGACATAAATCTGAAGCCTATTATTCTTCGAATCCAAACAGTACATCCGCGTCCTGGGTAAGAGAATAAACTACGTCCGGCAGCAAGGCCCCTGATCAGGAGGTTTTGAGGAACGTAGAACCACTTCTTAATTGCTAATGTTCCCAGCTCCACCCTGACTAAGGGTGGCAGCACCTGTTAGGGTTCCAACTATGGAAAAATAGTTTACCCCAAACTGGGGTCAAAACACTATGAAAGTGTAAAAATAGGTTTTAATACCAGCAAAAAGAATTTTGAGGAAAAATTATTACAAGCAATACATTATTACCAGCAAAATATTTTTGAAGAAAATAAATATTACCAGCAATACATTTTTAAGGAAAAAAATATTACCAGCAATACATTTTCGAAGGAAAAATTATTGCCAGGAATACATTTTTGAAGGAAAAATTATTATCAGCAATACATTTTTGAAGGAAAAATTATTATCAGCAATACATTTTTGAAGGAAAAAATATTATCAGCAATAAAAATCTTGTCGGCATTAAATAACCCATTGAGGTTGATAGACCGTAAAACAAAACAAAACAAGCAGTACCCTAAATACCAAACATCTTGTATTTTCGGTTTAGAAGAGTTGTATAGTATATCCTTATATTTGACTTCCTTTACAGGTTGTAATTGTATTTGAACGATTAATTTATAACTTTCATAAATTTTTTAAACATTGCATAAAGTCTCTTCGTTTTTCACAAATTACAATATTTGTTTAGCATAAATTTTTTCATTATTATTGGTTGTCATTTATTTTTTGTACATTTATGTATTCAGTCTACACTTTAAATAAAACCGAATCGACGTTACAAACTACCTTTTGTATCCTAAACTCTAAAACTTAATAAAAATAATTTAAACTTTCCCTAGCAATGTTTTCTCCCTCGAATCTGAACAATAACAATCATCTCGAATTTTCAGTTTAGAGATGTACTGCACTATAATTTTTTCAGCTTTTGAAAGATATCTTTCAGTAGTCCGATGTTCCTTCGGATTTCGGTGTCACACTTAACGTCATCTGTTATTATACTACCCAGATCGTTAAACTTTTGTACTTCCATTCTTTTTTTTCTTTTCTTTTTTTTTTTTCGTCTTCAGTTAATAACTCGCGTCTTTGTTGCATATTGACAGCAGTGAATGATCTCAGCTCGGCTTTTTTTCTCTTGGCCGGCGATCACTAGTTGTTTTGTTTAGCAATAAATGACATCAACACGGAGAATTTTAAATTAACTTATCAACATGTACTAATTATCAAGTGGGGTTCGTCCCTTCTCACTGGGGAGCCGTTTCGGACACGAAAGAGAACACGTTTACATTGCTTGACGGTTAAAATACGACTCTGAAAAACTTTTCTGTATCTATCATTCCCAATGACAGATGTGTTGCTATACGGAATAACTCTGAGAATACCATGGAACCGACATGTGAGCGACAAGGAAGTTTTCAGAAAAATTGGAACAAAAGAACATTACAGTTGAAATTTCTAGGGAACTTTTATATACCGTACCTATGAACATTAATGGGTATGTCCCAATCCTCATAAATACGTTGGACACTATTGTGAGTTGGGTAATATGATGTCTAAGTAGTCCACCACTAGAAGTGGTTTACCTACTGCACGCCGCTGGCGAGTATTGTATTTTGTTGATGTTATAAAGATTACCATTTCATTTCTAACCTCCGTTTTGGTTATTCCTCATTCAGTAACCCTCTCTAGGTTACAACACTTTCATATAATCCTTTGCTCATAATTGGTTTTTAGCTAATAAAATGTTTCTTTATTGAAATGTCTTCTACATTTAAAAATCATATTGTAAATGACGGATGCTCCACGTGACATGACATGAGATAGATAGATAGATAGATAGATAGATAGATAGATAGATAGATAGATAGATAGATAGATAGTGTTATATACCGTACTTATGAACAGTAATGGGTATGTCTCCATATATATATCTCCATATCCAATGATGTTTAGTAGGGATAATTCCAATATATATTTGCTCTGTTCTTACATTGAGCTCTCTTTGGATTTATATCCTCCTTTAGATAGATAGATAGATAGATAGATAGATAGTGTTATATACCATACCTATGAACAGTAATGGGTATGTCCCAATCCTCTTAAATACGTTGGACACTATTGTAAGTGGGAGTAATATGATGTCTAAGTAGTCCACCAAAAGCAGGTGAGTATTGTATTTTGTTGATGTTATAAAGATTACCATTTCATTTACAAGCTCCGATTTCCTTATTCCTCATTCAGTAACCCTTTCTAGGTTACAACAGAGACAATATGAGGAAAGTGGGTTTGGAGAATTTGATACTCATAGGACATACTGAAGTCAAATGAACAGCGGGAAAAAGTTACCTCCATGTTTATTTGTTTTTTGTTGTTTTTTTTTTGTTGTTCATCCAATATAGGACCCAATGACCACTCAACGTAGAGGGTTACTGTGTGGAGTTGTATTAGCGTAACAAATGGCAAGCGTTAGGGATATAGAGATGAAGTAGACTTTAGGAAGAAACGGAAACCCAATCCTAAACAGAGAACAAGGGATAAACATTTACTCCTGTTCAAAAGACCGAAGAGGAGACGTTAGAAGTATAGAGTTGAAGTAGAATTTAGAAGGAAGCGGAAAACCAATCCTAAACAGGGAACAAGGGATAAACCTTCTACTCCTGTTCAAAAGACAGGGGAGGAGACGTTAGAAGTATAGAGTTGAAGTAGACTTTAGAAGGAAAAGGAAACCTAATCTTAAACAGGGAAGAAGGGATAAACCTTTACTCCTGTACGAAAGACAGGAAATTTCATCTGCGCAAAAATATTCATCTACCGGCCTGGATATTCGAGAAAAAAACATGCGCCTTCCAGCAGGATTCGAACCTGCGGTTTGTTGAAACTATTTAACCAATTGTTGGAAGTTTTTGGGATTCAGAATTGTCCTTCTCCTCTTGGGAGCAGTTAAGGATTACAGTTAACTCTGCTTGTCGACTCTTTGCCTCCGGGCGATTGCAATATACGCATGTAATTATTTTGAAGGAGTTAAAAAAATCTTGCATTTTCTGTGACAAGTTGCACTATACACAAGTAATATTACATGGAGAGTTTAAAATTCATGCAAAAAATTTCAGGTGTTGCACTATACATAAAGTCGGCTTATACACGGGTATATACGGCAAAGAAAAAAGATGTTGGTCTACACTGCTAATTAATTAGTCAAATTTCAAATATAGGTTAAACTCTTCTTCTACAGTGCTAATCAATTAGTCATATTTAAAATATCGTTTAAACTATTCGTGCACACTGCTAATTAAATAATCATATTTAAAAGATAGATAAAATTGTTCGTCTACAGTGCTAATCAATAAGTCATATCATAAATCGTGTACGTGTTTTACCTTACATCTCATGTGCGCAAAAATATTCGTCTACGGGCCTGGATATTAGAGAAATCTATTTAGAAAAACATGGCCTTTCCGGCAGAATTCGAACCTGCGGTTTGTTGAAACTATTTAAACTATTGTTGGAAGTTTTTTTTTATTCAGAATTGTCCTTCTCCTCCTTGGAGCAGTTAACGATTACAGTTAACTCTGCTTGTCGACCTCATCCCCCCTTTTGCGGAGAGGAACGCATACGAGCGTAAGCCGAAGGGCAGGGTCTCGTCTGGAGAAGTAGACAGTAACCCGACTCCGTGTATACAGAGTCTACGGGCAATTTTTGCCCGAGCCTACGGGCTCCGAACGCCCCACGTAAAAATAGCCTTGTGCCACATCCCGCCTTGTGGGGAGGTCTCGAGTAAATACCGTGTTGTCCTTCTCCTATACCGGTTGCCAACCAAGACTATAGGACTTACTATTTCCACAACTTGAATTCGAACTCAGCTCTCTCTCTCCCCTCCTCTCTCTCTCCCCCCTCTCTCTCTCTCTATATATATATATATACACACACACACACACACACACACACACACACACACATATATATATATATATATATATATATATATATATATATATATATATATATATGTAGTCATCCACAGACAGACTGTTTCGCAGCTTGTCAGTGTGGCTAGACATCCGATCGCTTAAGGCCAGGACCGAAACCCGACTGATTTGGTAACACCCTAGGCCATCGATGCTCGTCACAGAAAAAGGCTAATTTTTGCGTATTTATTTTTTTACAAACACACCAGTCACTCAGAGAATTCAATCTTTGCTAGGAGAGTCTTGCATTATCAGCAGTAATAGTGACTGTTTACAAATTCGTCCCTTACTCCACACAGTGCTGGACAGGTTAAATTATTTTAAGAATGCAAATCTACAAAAATTACCGTATATACTTATGTATAAACCAGCTTCGTGTAAAGGGCGAATTCTCAATTTTTATCTTTTTACATGAATTTTAACCCCTCCATAAAAATTACCTGTTTATGGTGCAACTGCTTACCGAAAATATATGATTTTTAATCTTCTTCATTTGTGTATAGTGCGACCACCCATATTTTGCGTAAAAAAACTGATCATAAAACTCGAGTATATACGTTATTTCCTAAAACATACATTTTCCTTATTTTTGTGAGTTTACCGTTCCACTCAAGCAGTGTTACCGAATTATATGGATGGCTTGATTGAGAAAAATACAATTAATTTTAGGCATGGTAGAAAAATGCCCAGAAATATGTGACGCTAGTTCCATCAGGAGGTCGGTCGAAGGATGATGATGATGATGATGATGATGATGATGATGATGATGATGATTATTTTTTTTTTAATAATTGTTATTTTAAAGACAGATTGAAAGGGTTAAATATATTTTATAGTAAATTAGTCGAGGGGTGGCTGCAGAAGAAACATTCCACTTCTTTTATTGGAATTCGATTTTAATCAGCCTAACGTTAGAACGAATGTACAATAAGAAATTTTATCTGCTTCCCCAAATCTTATAATCAATAATGACAATTTTAATGCTAATTCTTCCATATTTTTTTTTTAAATCGCTTGGAAATTCAAAGCATTATTGAATATCAACGAAACTTCCTGGAGTAATTAAAACATCAGTTTCAATATTTATTGGCGAAAATTATTCCTTGTTGTGAAATTTAAATTTTTTGAAGATCAAAGTTGACTGGGAAGCAAGGAGCCGGACGCAAGAAGCCTTACGATGACATCTGGCCATTTCAGCTGTAAAATGATGAGACCTTGCCGCCAATCTAGTACTGCACTTAGATTCATAAAGTCTAGGTACTATAAAGGAAAATAATATTCATTTTGAAAATACAAACATATGGCAAAAGACCAAAAGTGGTCAGGGGGGGAGGCTGATCTTCAATCTATATTATCTTAATCTTAGCAAGCCACAATTACAATTACCAAGCGTTCTACAATATTCCTTACACCAAAACAACACATTCTTACTTACTATTCTTACTACAGCCACCATAATACGATAAAGTCTCTATGAAGTCATAATTAGTTCACATATGTGCAATTTGTCTGTGGGGGCGATAAAAATAACAACATTTAAAAATGAAACCTAAATGAATATTACATATATTACAGAACAATTAACATGCAAGTTTTTATAAAAAAAAAAAACGCATACGGAAGCGACATTATGGCGGTGGGAAAGTGACTGAACCAATAACATTACAGATTCTTCTTTGGATTTTATCAAGAATCTCTATATATATGGTAGTAGCACCAGACCAGATATGAGAGAAATTTTCTTAACAAAGGCGAAAGATAGGCTTATAAATATGTAAAATAAAATTGTCTAGCACATGAGTTCACCATATTTTACGAGTGGTCCAGTATAGTCTATGTCAAACTGTTAAAAAAGGATTATCTTGATTCGAATTGGGCCTACAAAGACACAATTAACTTTAGCTTACTTGTGGGAACCGCAGAAAAACGATCTCTTCCCCACACCCAACTGATGAACAAACTAAAGGCGGTTAACTGAACACCTTGATATACGCTTATTGAAATATACTTGCCTTGGTCTGTTCCCTCGGCTTGCGTGGAAAACGTTATCCATTTAACTGTTGCGAACATGCAGATGACCAGAGGAGTCAATTGCAAGTGGACAGGTCTTTGATCATTTCTATGAGCATTTATGGACCGATAATCTTTCCTCGTAATCGTTCCATAGTTGTATCGCTTTTAAAATACGTGCATACAAAGTGCTGCCAGGAACCACGGGGAAATCGAACAGGACATGAATGTGCTGCGGACATTTGGTGTTACAATTTCTGATCCAATGGAGAAATAAAAAAAAAGGGGAAGAACTTTTCTTTTACATGGTCAAATTCTGCAAATATTTGTGTCATGTCTCGTAAAAATCTAAATGTATTCACTCTCTCTCACACACACACACACACACACATATATATCTATATATATATTAGCAGAATGGCTCGGTGTTGCCCGTGCTTGATTCAAAAATCGTACGACTCATACAGCAATCGCTATCACTTGACTTAAAATATGTTTGCACTTCCTTGCCTTTAAAGGAGTGCCCTTTGCCGTGCTGATGTTGCTAACTGCCTTAATTCTTGCTTATCTCACACGGACAGCCTTAATCATGCATGCATATATATATATATATATATATATATATATATATATATAGACATTTTTTATATTTATACGTTTTTTTATAGATACAAATATTTAAGTAATTGCTCTGTTTATAATAAACAGTATTAACAACATTTAGCGGCCTGAATATCCGAGAAATTTTCATAGAAAATATGCGTCTTCCGACAGGAATCGAACCTGTATCTTATACGAAACCGTCATATAGCCTGACGTGCCTTAACCGATTGGGCCACAGAGGAGCGTTCGGTTAGCAAAGTCGTTTTTACTCTTTTTAAAGACAATTCTCCATGATTTTCTCTCATTCATTCATATCTGCTCAACGCGTATCCAAATGTAAATAAATGACGTCACACATTATGAAATGGACAAAGTCCGACAATTATTTAAGACATTTTTATGTTTATACATTCTTTTTATACATACAAATATTTAAGTAAATGCTCTGTTTTATAATAAGCAGTATTAAACAACATTTACCTTAAATAT